CAACCAGGAATAGTCCAGGCGATGGCCGCACTACAGCCTCTTTCAAACAAGTGGTTCAAAACACCACTCCTGCTGCCCGTAACTAACAAATGGTCAGATTGTCATCAAATGTCATTGACAACGAAACGCTGAAATTCCTGATTGAAAAAACAAAGTTCAAGGTGGATCAGCAATTAAGAAACAGAAAACAGAAAGGAAGAAAGAGGAAGTGATTGTATGGAAATATCTTGATGAGAAAGTGCCTGAACTGGACGATTTGCATGAAAGGCATGTTGCGGTTTTCAACTTCAGTCGTGAGTCATGACAGAGTAAATCTCGTGCTAGCAGACAAAAGGAAATCGGTCATCGAACAATTAGAAAAGAGGAAAATTTGAAGAATATCTTCTGCAGAATTTGGGTCGTAACAACATCATGGTTGTCTTTAACTATGAAGACCATGCTTGAATCATGGCGGAAATGCAGACTAGAAACTGGAACGGTTCGATCTGCATGATAACCAAATGGAAGAAACAAATTGTCCAAAAGCAAAATACAACCTTCACTATATCGTACAAACAGACAATGTTGAAAGAACATTTATGGGTTCAGTTCGACAATATTCAACCAGGTTTCCATGGTTTGCTGGTGAACAGACTGGACAGGCAATATCCAACAAACAAAATCCTCAGATGGATATTGCCAACTCCAGAATTTATGGCACGTCACTTTGTGTGGCATACTGCGTAGCCACACGGGCCTGCAGGGCCCGTCCCGCATTCTCAGCCTAAAAGCCTAGAAATAAGGGCTTACAGGCCCCATGTCATTTCAGTCTGAAAACTGAAAACGAGGGCCTGTAGGCCCTATTTCGTTTTCAGCCTAAAACAGGGCTTTTCAGCCCCGAGTCTTTTCAGCCTGAAACGGAGTGCCACTTTCGGGCCCTCATAAGATCGTCCTGCCCTAGAACTCAGGCAACAAACCAGGGTTTCGGGAACAGGCTATTTTGGCCTGTTCCCCGCGCCAGCCTCAGCAGAAGCTGCAGCGCCAGCCCCTGGCTTGCCCTGGCATTGGCAAGAGCAGCCTCCTGGACTGCCTCGCCCTACAGTCAGGAGGCAGGCCGAGTAGTACATAGGGAGTTCCCATGCACTTCACGGGAGGTAGTTGGACAGAAGGCAGGAGGCAGTCTTCAGGATTCGGCAGCAGCACTCTGGAGGAGCGCTGCAGAAGTAGCTTAGCGCTAGCAATAGTCTTCAGCGCTGGGCGCTAGTAGCTGCAGGAGTAGTCTTCAGCGCAGGGCGCTAAGTAGTGGTAGTGGTAGTAGTGTTGGAGAGAGATGGCTGGCGGAGGCCAGTGAGACTTACCTGTGGCGCCATAGCTCCAGCTCCATCTTCGAGGTACCTGCATCAAGGCGCCAACTTCACAGGTTAGTACCGGAGAGAGAGAGAGAG